CTCGTTTTGTGGCAGCTGCTTCATCACGCGTCACAGATCGCTGCGTTTGTCACACGAGGGGCTGTGGCAGCCCCGGGGCCAAGTCTGTCGGTGCCACTTTCCCAGCAGTGCGTGCTTGCAGACGGAGCGGCAGGCTTCCCGGCCCACGGAGCGAGAACGCCGTGCGTTAGCTTGGTGCCTGCGGCCCGTGGGCCCCGTGTTGGTGGCTCTCGCGGTGTCGCACAGTCCTCATCGCCCTGCGGCCCGCCCGGCAGACGGACCGTCAGCTGACTTTCGTCGGCCCCGCAGAAGCACGTTCTGCGCGAGTCTCTTTGTGGCCGTGGTCTTTCTGGGCCTGAGACCCGCACTGGCTTCGAGGCTGTGTGGACAGCTCTTCAGAGGAGTGCGGTGTCGCTTTGCTAAATTACCTGCCGTGTGGTGTAAAGGTGACTTCAAGAGTAGTTTTGGTTCACGGTGGAAAGATGGTCTCCGAGTGACGGTCCCGGGGGTTGGCCACGCCTCGGTGGCTCCAGAAAGCTGTGATTTTGGGACATCCTCGCTCAGTGAATGGTACTTGAGTGTCAGCCCGCGGCAGGCCACCTGCACATGGGGCCGGTGAGGACCCCGAGTTTGGATGCATCAGCCCTGGGAGGTGGGTGGAGAGAGCGGGGAGCCCGAGGCAGGCCCTTTTTCCCGTCCTGGGGGCCTGTCTGCTCTTTGCGGGAAGCTGGGATTGGGGTGGAGGCTGAGTGGGGCTCTTAGCTGGGAAGCCCCCGCTCCTCCGTGGTTTCACGTTGATTGAGGACATGTTATGACCATTGGCAAGCAGGTTGCCAAGTAGACAGGAAGGTGGTGGGGCATGTGGCCCTACCTCCTCAGCCCCCACACATCTGACTGGTCACGGTACACTGAGCAGGCCCACGTGTGGTCATCAGTGTCATTTTTTAATTGGGGTGTAACTCCCAGTGAAGTGCACACTTGAGCGGTCAGTGGTAGAAAGATGTGGCAGTCAGCATGTGTAAAGAACCCTGTGGTGCAGTTCCACTCTGTCCTCTAGGGGCGCTGTGGGTCAGAATGGACTCCACGGCAGTGGGTGTGGTTTGAGCTTTGCTTCTGTGAAGATTGACAGCCTGGGAGACCCTGTGGGCAGTTCCACTCTGTCCTCTAGGGGCGCTGTGGGTCAGAGTCCACTCCGGGGCAGTGGGTGTGGTTTTGCTTTACAGGTGGTCCTTGTAGCCATCAAATCCCACGGCACTTTCAGTCTTTCTTTTCCCCCACTGACTGGCGCCGTCGGCTGGTGGCGGACCCGTGGCCTCCGAGGGTGACGTAGCGTGGCGCCGCCCAGCCCTGTGCCGTGTCCAGGCTCGTTGCTGGGTCTGGGCCTGTTGTTGCCGCAACGTGTCCGTCCACCTCGTGCAGGTCCCCCTCATTTCCCCTCCCCTCTGCCAGCCACCATGCCCTTCTTCCGTCACGGGTCTTCCTGGAGGCCGCATCTAAAGTTCGGCAGTCCCCACCTTAGGAGTGACATCTGTGCCTAGCTGTGTCCTTAACTGGTAGGTCGGGTGGAAGCACTTGACTTCACTGCAGGGTAGGACTCGGAGCCTTCTCAGTGACTTCAGGGCTGCACACGCCGCAGGGGAAAGGGATTGCCATGAACACTTCCTGGGAATTGGGGTTGGTTCCGTCGCTCAACCCACCCACTGCCGTCACATCCATCCTGACTCACAGCGCCCCTGTGACGGGGTAGAACTCCCCAGAGGGCTTCCAAGGCTGTCGGACTTTATGGAAGCAGGCTGCCACATGTTTCTACCTGGAGAGGCTGGTGGGTTCAAACCTCCGATCTTTGGGTAAGCAGCCAAGTGCTTTAACCACTGTGCCATCACAGCTCCTAATCCCTTCAAAGTGAGGGCAGGTTTGCATAACATTAAACAATGCTACACGACATTAAAGGGCGAGTGTGCTTGTGAGTGGAGTTGTCCGTAAGTGGGATGTTTGTAATCTGGGGAC